GGTTCAAACCCACCAGCCACTCCTCGGAAGGAAGGTTGGGCAATCTATTTCCATAGTGATACTGCCTCGGAAACCCAAGGAGGGGTCGCTATGAGTTGGACCCAACTCGAAGGCAGTGAGTCGGTATATTCCATTTTCTGGAATTTACATGTCATCTGTATTCCTGACATGAACAGACAGGAAGTATACAGCAGCTAACCAAAAGATTGGTGGTTTAAACCCACCTAGTGACTCCATGGAAGAAAGACCTTGTGATCTGCTCCCATAAAAGTTACAGCCTAGAAAATCCTATGGGGCAAATCTACTGTCACATGGGGTTGCTAGAGTCAGAATCAACTCAAGAGTACCTAACAATAAAAGCATCATATATTCATATTTATAATCTATATGCAACATATAAATGTATTATTCCACAAAATGATATATACCTGAAAGAATATGGTTAATTGAGTGCTAGGATTATGATTTCTTTCTTTTTCTTCTGCTTTTTTTGTACTTTCAAATTTTCTACAACAATTACACAATACTTTCATAATCAGACTTTAATGGCTATTTTTAAATTAAGAATTAGAAACTCACTGACCAAAAGTTCGTGGCACGCAGCCTATTTCTGGCAAGTCTTTAATGAACAGCTTTGAAAACGACACACTCTCATTAAATAGGTACTCACACGACTCATCTGAAGAGATAGTGGGGAAAGCATCACACTCTGAGTCAAGGACAATTGTGACAAGAAGTTGCTGTAACTCTGTTCCAGTATGAAATCTAGCAGGGCCATCATGCCGCTTGTAGAAACCAAAAATATATTCATAATATCTGTGTGAGAAAGAAATTTAAACAAAACTTAAAAGCATTTTAGGCCAAGTTTTAAATATATATATATATGGTATCAGGCATTTTAAGGAGTTCTGGTGGTGCAGTGGTTAAGCACTCAACTGCTAAGTGGAAGGTCAGAGGTTAGAACACACCAGTCACTATGTGGGAGAAATGTATGGCAGTCTGCACCTATGAAGATTTTGGCCTTGGAAACCCTATGGGGCAGTTCTACTCTGTCCTATCAAGTCACTGAGTGAGAATCGAATTGACAGCAAGAGGTTTTGGCTACCGGACACTGTGGTTGACTCCTTAAGTCCACGACACCCAACATCAGTCCAACTAGAATCTCTCAGCCCAAGCTGCATATTAGAATTACCTGGAGACCTTTTGGAAAATACTGATGTCCACTGTAGAATCAGAATCTCTAGGACTGGGATCCAACCATGAGAATCCAACCCCACTCTCCTCACCCCTGGTTAGGAACCAATAGTTATACACAAAAACATTGTTCTACATCATACTTTGGTGAGTAGTGACTGGGGTCTTAACAGCTTAGGAGTGGACATTTAAGATGCAACTATTGGTCTCTCTTCTTCTAGAGCAAAGAAGATGGAAGAAAATCAAAGATGGATGAAAACAATTAATCTAAGGGACTAGCAGACCATGGAAATCTCAGCCTACATGACCCTGAGACCAGAATAAACTAGTTGTTGTTGTTGTCATGTGCCATTGAGTTGGACCCGACTCGTAGTGACCCCTCCTTGGGTTTCCAAGGTGGTATCACTATGGAAGTAGATTGCCGCATCTTCCTTCCCACGAGTGGCTGGTAGGTTTGAACTGCCAGCCTTCTGGTTAGCAGTCAAGTGCCTTAGGCACTATGCTACCAGAGCTCCCAATGAACTAGTGGTGCCCAGTTACTACTGTCAACCTGCAGTGTAGTAAATTACTTAGTGTGGCTTTTCTACCCATAAGTCTTTGTAAACTCTAAGGTGGGAATTGCTATTAGCTACGGAGGAGATCCTGATTTTAAAGTCGCCCACCTGGGTTATTTCTGTTGGGCGTGGCACAATACAATGTTCTGGGAAGTTCCCACTCTCTCTCACGTGCTTAG